GGTAAGCATAGCCGGCGGTCCTTGAATAGAAAGTCATCATGCCTGTAAAAAGAACCAAACACTCCTCGGCTACATTGGTTATAGAGCTCTTTGAAGTCAGGATCCTCTCTATATAGTTGTTTAAGATGCTCAAATCCCATGATCTTAGCCTCCATTGTTGAGATGAGGGCGTATTTTCTTGATAAAGCATCTGCTACAACATTCTCCTTTCCCTTCTTGTATTTGATTACATAGGGAAATGTCTCTACGAACTCTAGCCATCTAGCATGCCTCTTCTTCAAAGTAGTTTGGCCTCTCAAGTACTTGAGGGTCTCATGATCTGTATGAATAACAAACTCTTTATATAGAAGGTAATGCTGCCAAGTTTCAAGAGACCTTACTAAAGCGTATAGTTCTTTATCATAGGTAGGGTAGTTAAGGGCGGCTCCATTGAGTTTTTCACTGAAGAAAGCCACTGGTCTCCCTCCTTGAGTAAGAACAGCTCCGATTCCTGTCCCTGAAGCATCACATTCAACTTCAAACGTTTGGTTAAAGTTAGGTAATGCCAAAACAGGCGCATGTGTAAGGCTATCCTTAAGCCTTTGAAACGCTAGCTCATGTGCCTCTCCCCATGAGAATGCTACATTCTTCTTGATCACCGAGGTTAAGGGGGCGGCATTGGTGCTGAAATCCTTCACAAATCTCCTATAGAAGCTGGCTAATCCGTGGAAGCTCCGGACATGACTGATGGTAGAGGGGGTTGGCCACTCCTGAATCGCCTTGACCTTCTCCTCATCCACTTTAAGCCCCTGTGAACTTACTGCAAAGCCTAAAAACACTAACTGATCAGTGCAAAAGGTATATTTCTTTAAGTTTGCATATAAGCCCTCTAACCTTAACGTTTCTAGCACCTGCTCAATGTGGTTAAGATGATCATCTAAGCTAGATCTATAGATCAGGATGTCATCAAAATACACAACTACTGACTTACAGATGTATGCTCGCAGTACATGATTCATGAGCCTCATGAATGTGCTCGGTGCATTGGTGACGCCGAAGGGCATGACCAGCCATTCATATAAACCTCTCTTAGTCTTGAATGCTGTCTTCCACTCGTCGCCCTCTTTCATTCTGACTTGGTGATAGCCACTCTTGAGATCAACCTTGGAAAATATTGTAGCTCCACTCAACTCATCTAGCATATCGTCTAGCCGGGGAATGGGGTGCATATACTTTATGGTGATGTTGTTTATAGCTCGGCAGTCTACACACGTCCTCCATGACCCGTCCTTCTTTGGCACTAACAAGACCGGTACAGCGCAAGGACTTAAGCTCTCTCGGATGTATCCTTTGGACATAAGCTCCTGAACTTGTGCTTCTAGCTCCTTTGCTTCTTCCGGGTTAACTCTATAAGCTGGCCGGTTGGGTAAAGGTGCTCTGGATATAAGGTCTATCTGGTGCTCAATGCCTCGGATGGGTGGTAAACCGGCTGGTATCTCCTCAGGGATGACATCTTTGAACTTCTCCAAAAGCTCATTCATCTCGGCGGGTAAAACAGTCTCCTCTTGACCTGAAAACAACCCTTCTCTAAAGATCATGAGTAGCACCTGCGTTTTGGATTCTAAAGCCTTTAAAACATTACTAGGAGTAACATAAAGGCTAGTTTTACTTACCTTAGCTCCTTTGTCCATAGACTTTTGGAGATTAAAGACTTCTTGGGGTGTAAGTGGAGAAAGGTTATGCTTCTTCTTGTTGTGAGAGAAGCTGTAAAAGTTGGTACAGCCATTGTGTATCGTTTCCTTGTCAAACTGCCATGGTCTACCAAGTAGAATGTGGCCTGCTTGCATGGGAACTACGTCACATAGAACCTGATCTTCATACTTGCCAATGCTGAATGGTACTAACACTTGCTCTCCTATCTTTAGCTCGGTCTCGTCATTCAACCATTTGAGTCTGTAGGGCCTCAGGTGCTTTGTTTTCTTGAGGCCTAGCTTATCTACAAGATACTTACTAGCCACGTTAGTACACGAACCACCATCTATGATGAGGCTACATACCTTGGTGTTCACGGTACAGCGTGTATGGAAGATGTTCTCTCTTTGAATGGTTTCTGGATCAAACATGATGCTGAGAACTCTCCGGGTCACTAGTAGCTCTCCCTCGTCAGAAAAATCAGTCACTTCTTCCTCTGAGTCATCAAACTTGGCCTCGGCTTCATCTTGTGATTCATACTCGCCATCTTCTTTGAGTAACATCACCCGTTGATTTGGACATTCTCTAGCGTAATGGCCTCTTCCTTGGCACTTGAAGCGTGTAACATCTATAGCTTGCTGGTTTTGGGGCTTGCTTGACTCGCCAGTAGCTGCCTTAGACGTCTCTACAACCGGCTTCTTGTACTTGAAAGCTGCTTCTGGTGCTTTGCCTTTATCAAAGGCTCTCAGCTGTGAACTCCAAGCGGGCTTAGCTCTAGCAGTAGAGGCTGACTTCCTCTTGACGTGCTGCTCGGCTTGTACAGCTAAGTGTAAGAGCTCATCAAGGTCTCGGTAAGTAGTCCTCTCAACCTTTCTTGCGATCTGATCGTGTAACCCATCAATGAACTGCGCCATGAGGGTTTCTTCGGTCTCGTTGGTCTCCAAGCGATTTTTGAGTAGCTCAAACTCCTCAAAGTACTCCTCAACGGACCTAGTGCCCTGTGTGAGCTTTCTGAACTTCTTCTGTAGATCACGGTGGTAGTAGGAAGGAACATATCTCTTCCTCAAGTGGTATCGCATCTCCTACCAAGTGGTGATCTGATCGTGTCTATGTCTCCTTCTCTCCGAAACTTCTCTGTCCCACCAGGAAAGAGCATTCTCGGTGAGCTGTGCAGCTGCTAAGGAGACCTTCTTGGCGTCATGGTACTGGTAGTAGTCGAAGGTATACTCCATTCTTCTCTCCCAATCCACATATGCCTCGGATTGACTCTTCCGGCGAATGTGGGTGCTGTAAGCTTGATATCCTTTTCTCCAAGCCACGGTTGATCATCTTCTCTGTCTCTCCCTCTTCTAGGGCGATCATGGTACCTCCTTTGCCTCGGGTTAGGATCATCTTCCTCCAAACTCGGCATGTCATCGTCAGTTTCACTTCCCCCTTGTGGTACGGGAGTCCTCTCTCGGTTTCTAGGGCCATTGGGAGCTCCGGCGGGAGGTGGTGGTGGCAGTCGCTGCTCCAGTTGATTCATCCTAGCACTGATGCCTTGAATGGACTCAAGCATCTGCCTCATAACATCAGCTTGATCTGCTTCTCTCATCGTAGTACCTACAAAGTTTCAAAGATCAAGTGTTTAATGGGTTCTAATATAAGCCAAGTATAACAACAGTTTATGAGCTATAGTCCTAATGCTCAATACTAGGAACCGTCCTAATCACTAGCAAGGAAAACCTCACAAAGGTAGTATGACAATATGCGACTAATCCAAAACAAGTAAGAACTAACTCGCAATATGACCAATATGGAAAGAGCTCTTTAAAACCGAATATGCACTTCTAAAAGTTGAATAATTTTTATGATTTTTTTTTTTGTAAAGTATGAATCAAACACGAAAATTATGCAATAATGAAAAACTTCTTTTGGGGTTTTTAGAATTGAAAATCAAATCAAAACAGTAAAACAATGAAAACTTTTTATGTTTTTTTTTTTTTTGAATGATGAATGAAGCTAAAGAACCAAAGCGAAAACTAAGAAGAAAGGATGCAAAAGGGATAGAGTACACCTGTTTAGGGAGCCTTTCGGCTCTGATACCAGATGACACACGCCTACAAGCAGTAACCGTGTATGGTGATGGGATTGCGCCGCTGGTTGTTCAACTCTTTCGGCTTGCAATCAATGGATGGACTATGGAAGGAAGTGGATCGAGATAGAGCCCAAACAAAGAGTTGTACCACTCTATTTGCAAGATCTAGGTTGTGAGATGAATAGAAGATGGATTGAAAGTCGCCACAAGGCTTTATGGAGATAAACCTTGATAAGACAAAGAACTCTCAAGCAATGAATCACACAAAGCCTTAGAGAACAAGAGATTGGTACTTAGCCAAGAAGTTCGTTCCTTATTGATATGTTGAAAAGAATACACGGCTGTGAGGGGACTTTATAAATAGTCTGAACAGCTTTGCCCTTCTAGGAGGCTTGAAACAGATTACAAAACCCTTAGGTTAAACTACTTGGCTAACAATGCCTTAAAACAAAAATCTAAATAAAATGTGGCCAACATGCCTTATACTAATGTTTTTAAATAAAAGCTGAACCAAAACAACCAAAGAAAGAGTTTTATTAGTTGAATAAACCATATTGAAATAGGGACTCGGACTTACCTCGGTTTAGGTGGTTTAGGAGCATTTTCACTTAAGTAGCGTAATGCTAAATAAGGAAACTCCTTTGCTATCATGATACATTGGCCATCCGTGTGTATAAGCTATGCTTTTGATGTGAGGACCGTTGATGATGTCTAAACCGTCTTTTTGCTCGTTGGGAAGGTCTTCTTGCTTGTTGGGAATGCCTTCCTCGCTTAGACGTGCCCTCACCATTGCTGCTTCTTTGGCGATGCTCAGTTGGCTAAGTTGAGTAGTGACATCTTCTAGGTGCTGGGAAGTGATCAGCGTCTCTACTGCTTAGTTGAAGCTATCAGCTAAGTCTTTAGTTCCTGATCTTGTTCTTGGAGCTTGTCTCATGGTAAGAATGTCAGCTTCAACTCCTAAGTTTGTATCACTTCATAAGAACTCATTTTAATTATCATAGCATTGCAAAGCAAATATCATAAACAATAATTAAGGTTTTTGAACAAGTCATAACAAGTACACTAACTTAATTTATCAAACTCAGAGGAAGCCACCAGCATGCGATGAGAACACCAGTAGCATACATTGATATAACTAAGCTCGGAAGAAAATATGGAAACCTGTAAAACGCACAACACCGAAGCAACAATTGATGAAAACTATTTTGTTATCATTCGAAAATGGATATTTTAGAGTAGAACGATGATAATACTACCTCCCGAAAACCGAGCTCTGCGAAAATATATTCGGATACTTTTCTACAGGCTAAGGATAACATATAACAGAAACCAATTTAGCCAAGTATGAAAATTTTCGGAGAGGTGAAAGTTTGTGTAAGTCTGTACCTGAGCAAGATAGCCTCCAATAGCAGGACCTATGATTAGTCCTATACCTCTCGATGTACTCACCTGAGGAAATGAAATAGAACTATTTCTCCTCTAGATGAAAGTAAACATTGACTATAACAAGAGTTGAAATAAATAATACTTCATCTGTTACAAAAATATAATTTTTCTAGAGTTTTCATACATATCATGAAAAAATGTTGATGTTCAGTATAAATGTGTAAACTTTTTACCCTAAACAATTTTTTATTTGATTTTAAACCAACAGTAATATATAAAATTCAATTGTTTTCAATAGATATTTCTTGAAATCTAAAATTTGTTACAGTTGAAAACCTATAAGAAATTCATCCTTAATAAACAAAAAAAGGAAGAAAAAGCGTGAAATTGTATCTTTCTGAAACGGATGGATGAGTTAAAAGCCTCACAACAGAAAGACTAAGAGAGTGATACTCCTCACTAACGACTTCTGAAGCATATGCCTGAAACATTGAAAAACAGGAAACAAAGGTACCTTTAAGAATCTAATGCATCTAATCACTATACAAACTGAAAAGAGAAAAATCCACATTACCCTTATTACACCGAGAAGACAATTAAAGCAGCCAAGAAGGAATCGAACGGAGATCGCGACCCAGAAACTTGTACTTAGACCAAAGAGAGTATTGAATATGATCCTGAAAAAGAGTTCTGAGGAATAAAAAAAATTCTGCAGACAAATATAAACTCCTGAGGAATAAAAGTGTAAAAAGCTAACACTGAGAAAGTTCCAATCATGATAATAGGTTTGCGACCATATCGATCAGCTAATTTCCCCCAAAGAATCGATGTCAGAGCTCTTCCGATCATGAACGAAGATGCTAAACATAAAAAAGAAAACATCGAAATAGCAGAATTCGAAATTAAAAAGCAAGAATCAAAAAAAAGTAACAAAGAGATTACCAACGAAACCAGCATAGAAACCAATATCTTCTTCTTCTTTTGCGATGTTAAAGTCTCTGATCATGAAATAGAGATATGGAAACAGCGAAGAGATCGAGAGAGCTGAAATTGAAAATACAAAAATCAGAATAGCGTAATTTCGAGATTCAGTTGTGCGCGCGCCATATGCTTGCTGAAGATCCGAAGAGAGAAAATTGAACTAGTGCAGAGAGAGACGAGCCAGATGAAGGAGAGGTTGATGTAAGGTATGCCTCGCTGGTTTTCCTTAAGTCGATCGATGTTACAGCCGGAGCAGTTGTGGTGGTCATCGTCTTCTTTCTTCTTCTCCAGAAGGACGGTTCGTGCCTCATCGGCCATGATCGGAAGTCGGAACCACTGAATCGGAGAGATTTACTGATTGTTCTTTTGTTTCGAACTTTTTTTCATTTGGAATAAAAAGTAAAATAAAAAGAATCTGTTTCGAATTAAACTTCGGATAACTCACGCGATGATTTTTAAAAAAAGTCATATTCGAAAGGCGCCAAAAAGACCTAAGATGATTAGGAGGAAGAGTATCCAAATATCATTTCACGGGTAGGACTTAACAAATAAAAGACTTTTTTATTTAAACAAAACATAGTTGTAACATAAACTCTAATCATCTATCATCATATCTATTACTAATAAAAGTTGATGCTAAATACCTCTAAGAGTGTCCACATAGGATTTAAAGATTCAATTTTATTGGTACACATCATCATTACTTTTAGTTAATTATATAATGTATATTAAAACTAATTAATTCGTTTTAATTGTTATAAAGAAAATTTCTAAATTTTAATTAATTTTGTTTTTATTGTTTTTAAAAAAGTTTCTAAATTTTAAGTTAGTTATTAATAAAAAAGAATTTTGAAAATAGATCTTATATTTCTATTAACAATAAAAAGGTAAATTAACATATAAATATATTATCAAAAAGAAAAATCATATATTTTGAACAAAAATATTAAAAACTATATTTAAAAACCATAATTAAATTATTTTAAAATTTTAATCACGACAAAGAATTAAAATCTGAACTGCTAAATTAAAATATATTAGTTGTGATCCGTGTTGATGTCTTAGGCCAATGAGAGAGTCCACATAGAACATATATACTCAATCTGATTAGTCTAGATCAGTGTTTTTCATTAAACATAACAAATAAAAAAATAATATTAATAATCTAATAAATTAAAACATACAAACATATAAAATTATCACAATAGAATGGAAAATTAAGATAATTTTTTTTAACTAAATAAAATAAATTTATGTTAAAAATCTAAATCTATTATGATAATAAAATAGAAACTCATTGTCACAGAAACTAAACTAACAAAAACAAATATGTAAATCAATCGCAAAAAATTTAAATTAAAAAAATTAGCATATATATTTTAAATGAGTAATTTATTTAGAATAAATATTAAGATTAAATTTTCATATAAACATATGAAATTGTTATTTATAAATATCAATACTACCAAAAAATATTCATCTTAACTTATCAAAAAGAAGTCATTTAAAACTTATAATTTTTCGGGAAATATTTAAAAAATTAGCACAAAAATCTTAAATAACCAAAAATAATACTTTATGCTAATTACTGAAGAAAGCAATATAAAAATATTTAACTAACAAAAACCAAAACATAAATTATTTCTTACAACATGTCAATACAATTAAAATGAAAGTCCATATCGAGAAAGTTAAATTAACAAAAAAAAGAGGATATTAACTCAATATCTATGTTATCTATTTAACAAAATCAATATAAACAGAATAAGTATGGGAATAAAAAAACTTAAATAATACTAAAAACTTAACTAACAAAAATAATATAAATATTTAAGCTAATTATTTAAGAAATCAATATTAAGAAATTAATTAACTAAAAAACTAAAACGAAAATTAAGTTTTACAAATTTTTTTCAAAAAAATACTTAAAATATATTGACTTGATATTTTACTAACTACTTAAAAAATTTATATAAAAAATTTAACTAACAAAATATCTATTTTCTTAAAATATCAAATTTTTTTAAAAACTGGTGTGTTAAAATAAAATAAAAATCAATATCAACAGAGATAAATTATCAAAATAAAAATTCGTATAAAGTAAAATTAGCTTGATATTTAGGCTAACTACCAAACAAATATTAACTAAAAAAACAAATGATGATATAAGCTTTAAGAGAAGTTCACTTAAAATTTAGAATAACCAGTTATAGCATGTCAAAATAACATTTTAATTAATTTTAAAAGTAAATTTAACAAAGAACAAGCATTTATGTAAAAGACATTAGATTAATATATATGCTACCTATTTGAAAAATCAGTAACAAAAAAGATTAATGAAAAATATATATGTTGTAAGTTTATCAAACCTGCAGAAAATTAGATAATTAAAATAAAGTATAAAATTACCATCAAAGATATTTAAAATAACAAAAAAAAAGATCTAAGAAGCAAATTATTTTGAAATATAGTTCCAAAAACATTCATGATTTCTAAAATATTGGTGTCGACTATGAATAACCATATAAAGTTTTAATAGGTAATACAAGTTTCTAAATCAAACGTATTATTTAAATTTATAAAGATTAATACATTGGTTGCGTCTGGTTGAAAAATTAACAAAGTAAAATACTACACAAGTAACTTTACATTCAAAATATAATAAGTAATAAAGTCTGATTTGTATACATATTTACTTCTTATAACTTAGTCAACATGAACAACACATGAGCAAGATCCTCTAAAATTTAATTTAAATAATATATTATGACAAAGTTATAAATCAAATTCAAATGTGAATATATGAAGATAAAATATTCAAATCAAAACATGAATAAACACACAAAAGATTAAAAAAAAAAACGGTGATAATGTGATGTCTCAACATCATCTTACATGTTTAAAAACAGATATTAGCAAATAATTAGGCTGCAAATAAAACAGATCTTAATTAACTGAATAGAGATATAACCTAAAATTCTTAGAAGATCTGGTGGAGAAGCAAAAATCAATTTTACACGATTAGTGTAGCTTACTAACAAAAGTAAATCTGAATCAACATATATCAAATTATATATGTATATGTACATAACATTAGTGAGACATTTAACTTAGTAAAAAAACTAAATATTTAAACATATAAACCTTTTAAAAAAAAACCATAGAAATCCTAAGGATACAAAATAAAACACCAAAAATTTAGTAAGAAAATCATTTTCTAAATCAAACATATGCACATCGAAGTTGGATAATTTGTTAGGTGTCATTACTATGATTTTACTTAATAAGATTTATAATTTTATAAACAAAAATAGGAAATACTACATATTATATTTTAATTTTTTATATAAAAGAAAATTTTTAGAAATATATTATACTTTTGATAATTTAAAAGATATTAGACAAAAAACTAAACCAAATTATTAATACAGACTCGCGCGTAGCGAGAGTTAAAAGCCTAGTATTACTAATAAAAATTGATGCTAAATGTCTCTAAGGGTATCCACATAGAATTTAAAGATTCAATTTCATTGGTACACATCATCATTATTTTTAGTTAATTATATATTATATATTAAAATTAATTAATTCGTTTTAATTGTTATAACGAATTCGTTCTAAGGATGTCCACATAGGATTTAAAGATTCAATTCTATCGATACACATCATCATTATTTTTAGTTAATTATATATTATATTTTAAAATTAATTAATTCGTTTTAATTGTTATAAGGAAAATTTCTAAATTTTAATTAATTTGTTTTTGTTGTTATTAGGAAAGTTTCTAGATTTTAAGTTAGTTATTAATAAAAAAAAGTTTTGAAAATAGATTTTATTTTTCTATTAACAATAAAAGGTAAATTAACATATAAATAGATTATGAAAATAAAATCATATATATTGAATAAAATTATTAAAAAATATATTTAAAACCATAACTAAAATATTTTAAAATTTTAATGACGACAAACAATTAGAATATATTAGTTGTGGTCTGTGTTGATGTCTTAGGCCAATTAGAGCGTCCACATAGGACATATATATTCAATCTGATTAGTCTATATCAGTATTTTTCATTAAACAAAAAAAATAAATAAACATTAATAATAATTTAAATAAATTAAAACTTACAAAAATATAAAGTTATCACAATAAAATGGAAAATTAAGATAATTTTTTTAACTAAATAAAATAAATTTATGTCAAAAGTCTAAATCTATTGTGAAAAAAAAAATGAAAACTCATTGTCACAAAAACTAAACTAACAAAAGCAAATATGTAAATCAATAACAAAAAAGTTAAACTAAAAAAAACAATTAGCATATATATTTTAAATGAGTAATTTATTTAGAAAAAATATTAAGATTAAAATTTCATATAAACATATAAAAGTTTTATTTAAAATATCAATACTACCAAAAAAACATTCATTTTAAATTATCAAAAAAGAAATTCATCTAAAACTTATAATTTTGGGGGAAATATTTAAAAAATTAACACAAAAATCTTAACAAACCAAAAATAATACTTAATGCTAATTACTGAAGAAATCAATATAAAAAATGTTTAACTAACAAAAACCAAAACATAAATTATTTCTTACCACATGTCAATACAATTAAAATGAAAGTCTATATAGAGAGAGTTAAATTAACAAAAAAAAAGAGGATACTAACTTAATATCTATGTTATTTATTTAACAAAATTAATATAAACAGAATAAGTAAGAGAACAAAAAAACTTAAATAATACTAAAAAATTTAACTAACAAAAATAATATAAATATTAAAGCTAATTATTTAAGAAATCAAAATTAAGAAATTAATTAACTAAAAAAGTAAAACGAAAATTAAGTTTTGCAAAATATTAGTTTTTTTTTAAAAACAATTAAAAATATATTGACTTGATATCTGACTAACTACTTAAAAAATTCATATAAAAATATTTAACTAACAAAAAATTTATGTCTTCAAAATATCAATATTTTAAAAACAATGGTGTGTTAAAATAAAATAAAAATCAATATCAAGAGAGGTAAATTATCAAAGAAAAAGTGGTATAAAGTAATATTAGCTTGATATTTAGGCTAACTACCAAAGAAATATTAACTAAAAGAAGCAAATGATGGTATAAGCTTTTGAGAAAAGTTCACTTGCAGTTCTGAATAACGAGTTATAGCATGTCAAAATAGCACTTTAATTAAATTAACAAAGTAAAATACTACACAAGTAACTTTACATTCAAAATATAATAAATAATAAAGTCTGATTTGTATACATATTTACTGCTTATAACTTAGTCAACATGAACAACCTATGAGCAACATCTTCTAAAATTTTATTTAAATAATATAATATGACAAAGTTATGAAACAAATTCAAATGGGAATATATAACGATAAAATATTCAAATCAAAACATGAATAAACACAAAAAGATAAAAAAAACAGTGATAATGTAAAATCTCAACATCATCTTACATGTTTATAAACAAATATTAGCAAATAGTTAACTGAAAATAAAACAGATCTTATAAACTGAATAGAGATATAACCTAAAATTCGTAGAAGATCTGGTGGAGAAGCAAAAAGCAGCTTTATACGATTAGTGTAGCTTACTAACAAAAGTAAATCTGAATCAACATATATCATATTTTATATATGTATATGTACACAACATTAGTGAGACATTTAGTAAAGAAACTAAATATTTAAACATATAAACCTTTTAAAAAAAAAGAACCACAGAAATCCTAAGGATGCAAAACAAAGCACCAAAAATTTAGTACGTAAATCATTTTCTAAATCAAACATATGCACATCGAAGTTGGATAATTCGTTACGTGTCATTACTATGATTTTACTTAATAGGATTTATAATTTTATAAACAAAAATAGGAAATACTACATATTATGTTTTAATTGTTTATATAAAATAAAATTTCTACAAATATATTATAGTTTTGATAATTTAAAAGATATTAGCCAAAAAAATAAACCAAATTATTAATACAGACTCGCCTTCAATGCACTATGCCATCAACTTTTATATATTATTATGTATATAACTCGCGCTACATGCGAGTCTGTATTAATATTTTGGTTTTTTTTTTTAGCTAATATCTTTAAATTATTAAAAGTTATATATATATATATATATATATACAGAAATTTTCATTTATATAAGAGAATTTAATATATAATGTGTAATTATCCTATTTTATTACACATTATATATTAAATTCTCTTATATAAATAGAAATTTCTGTATATATATATATATATATAACTTTTAATAATTTAAAGATATTAGCTAAAAAAATAAACCAAAATATTAATACAGACTCGCACGTAGCGCGAGTTATATACCTAGTAATATATAAAAGTTGATAGCATAATGCATTGAAGGCGAGTTATATATCTAATAATAACGCATTGAAGGCGAGTTATAATGCATTGAAGGCGAGGCAAATTTCGTCGTCGTCAAAAGAAGAGTTCGAAGACGAAGCTGACATTTTTTGAGAATTTTTGAATGGATTAAAAGAAATTAAAGGAAGATCGAAGGGAGAATTGCTACAGGAAGGAGAAGATTATTGCAGAAATCGGCGAAGAAGGCAAAAAGATATCTTGAGCAAGAAGACGAAGAAGTAATAAAATTAAAAAAGAAATATCAACAGTTTCCTATAACGACGCGTGTCAAGATTTTTGGAATCTCGTCGCTTGGCACAACCTTTCGCCTTTCCCGCTCGAAAACAAAACCCTAAAATTGGGTTGGAGTATTTTTTGAAGAATGCCACGCGTCGAACCCACTTAAAATCGGGCCGAGCTGGCTGTAGCAAAACAACACTCTTAACGAGCTAACGCTTATTGCGAGATCTAACCCATTTAAGAACTTCATGAAGTCCGCCGACCTGATTTACAATCAGTGTCGCCAAACTGGGGACTTACTGTTAGAAGGAAAATGAACACATTTCCTAAAAGTCTTTCTCTAGCAATAACATAAGCCCATCAAGACCATGAAGACCGCGCCGACCTAGCTCGGACTAAAGGAAATATCCTAAAGATAACTATCGAAGACCGGAAACATCGGATCAAGTCGGAAGATAAAGGAGAATTTTCATATTTCTCACAGAATAAGGAAGATTTTCATATCACGAATATGGAAATATTCGCCAAAGGCAAAAATGATAAGGAACTCGGAGCGACCGACCTCCTATCCCTATAAATAAAGAGGACCTCGAAACCAAGAAGGACAACTCATACATTCTAGAGAGCAGCAGAGCAAGAACCAGGAACTCCAACGCTTTCTAGTTTACTTCGCAAAACACCTTTCTCACTTCGACATAACCTCTCGGTTATACCATTCTTTGTAATCGCTACGCTTTCTTGCTATTAATAAAAAGACATTATTCTCCGAAACCTACAACTGTTAATCAAACCCTAGTAGTGATTTTCTGGTTCAACACAGGGTGTAGAAGAAAGTACTCACAGACAAAGCGTTTTTTAAGATAGATGCAAAATTCATCACCACATGGAGGGTTACTCCTGAGAGTGAAGCTATAGAGGGGTAACAAGAAAGCAGCGGTATCAGCAACACCTGAACAACAACAATGTGAAAAGCGTCATTCGGAGAGATGCACATTACTACTATAACAAAGAAAAGAGCATCATTGGCAACGTCAAAACAGATTTACCGCAGAGAGACGTATAAGCACAAGGAATCCCAGGGTCTTCTCCAATGGAGGGTATACCAAAAGTTGAAACACCAGAAGCCCAAGTCCTTGAAACATCCATAGACATTGGACAATATCAAACTAAAGAAAATGAGTTGAAGAATTAGACAGAAACAATTAACAAATGAGTACCACCCATGAAAAAATAAGACCTTCATCAGGTTTATAAGATTATAAGGAAAATAATTTTCTGGTTAAGCAATAAGCTATAAACAGCATGCACCTGATATAGCTAAAACTTGGCCAACATCTTGAGATGAGAAACTCAATCCTCCATAGCTTCTGTCGCTAACAGCCCAGAGTGAGAATATCTTGCAAAGTTACCAAAACAATGATAATTGATAAGCAATACTCACAATGCAAAAGTCTGAAACTATAAAGCTTTTTGTGCATCACTCTAAAACTAAGTATATCCTCTTTAGTAAAGAATTATATTTTTTGACAAGTGAATTGTAACTGTCTTACCTCTGAGTAAGCTATCTCTTGGAGAGAAAAAACACAGTATATAATGATGATAGCCATCAATGGACGATTCTTCAAAAGACTTGGCTTACTTTTTATTCTCTGGTCATCGAGTCCTCCTTCTCTGCTTCCATCATCGTTTAGCTCATTTTGTGGATATCCACGTCCATTTGGATTAAGCCTCTCGTGGGCAATTCTACAACGCGTATGAAGTGTTTCCTGTAACTTATCTTGTGAGTTAAAATTTACATTTTTTAGCTTAATACAGATCTCTCAATATGGCCAAGTTACATCCTATAGCTCTGAAACTTCATGACACACTCCTACAAGCAGTAACCGTGTATGGTGATGGGATTGGGTCGCTGGTTGTTCAACTCTTTCGGCTTGCAATCAATGGATGGACTATGGAAGGAAGTGGATCGAGATGGAGACCAAACAAAGAGTTGTACCACTCTATTTGCAAGATCTAGGTTGTGAGATGAATAGAAGATGGATTGAAAGTCGCCACAAGGCTTTATGGAGATAAACCTTGATAAGATAAAGAACTCTCAAGCAATGAATCACACAAAGCTTTAGAGAGCAAGAGATTGGTACTTAGCCAAGAAGTTAGTTCTTTATTGATATGTTGAAAAGAATACACGGCTGTGAGGGGACTTTATAAACAGTCCGAACAGCTTTGCCCTTCTAGGGGACTTGAAAAAGATTACAAAACCCTTAGGTTAAACTATTTGGCTAACAATGCCTTAAAACAAAAATGTAAATAAAATGTGGCCAACATGCCTTATACTAATGTTTTTAAATAAAAGCTGAACCAAAACAACCAAAGAAAGAGTTTTATTAGTTGAATAAACCATATTGAAATAGAGACTCGGACTTACCTCGGTTTAGGTGGTTTAGGAGCATTTTCACTTAAGTAGCGTAATGCTAAATAAGGAAACTCCTTTGCTATCATGATACATTGGCCATCCGTGTGTATAAGCTATGCTTTTGATGTGAGGACCGTTGATGATGTCTAAACCGTCTTCTTGCTCGTTGGGAAGGTCTTCTTGCTTGTTGGGAATGCTTTCCTCGCTTAGACGTGCCCTCACCATTGCTGCTTCTTTGGCGATGCTCAGTTGGCTAAGTTGAGTAGTGACATCTTCTAGGTGCTGGGAAGTGATCAGCGTCTCTACTACTTAGTTGAAGCTATCAGCTAAGTCTTTAGTTCCTAATCTTGTTCTTGGAGCTTGTCTCATGGTAAGAATGTCAGCTTCAGCTCCTAAGTTTGTATCACTTCATAAGAACTCATTTTAATTATCATAGCATTGCAAAGCAAATATCATAAAAAATAATTAAGGTTTTTGAACAAGTCATAACAAGTACACTAACTTAATTTATCAAACTCACAGGAAGCCACCAGCATGCGATGAGAACACCAGTAGCATACATTGATATAACTAAGCCCGGAAGAAAATATGGAAACCTGTAAAACGCACAACACCGAAGCAACAATTGATGAAAACTATTTTGTTATCATTCGAAAATGGATATTTTAGAGTAGAACGATGATAATACTACCTCCCGAAAACCGAGCTCTGCAAAAATATATTCGGATACTTTTCTACAGGCTAAGGATAACATATAACAGAAACCAATTTAGCCAAGTATGAAAATTTTTGGAGAGGTGAAAGTTTGTGTAAGTCTGTACCTGAGCAAGATAGCCTCCAATAGCAGGACCTATGATTAGTCCTATACCTCTCGATGTACTCACCTGAGGAAATGAAATAGAACTATTTCTCCTCTAGATGAAAGTAAACATTGACTATAACAAGAGTTGAAATAAATAATACTTCATCTGTTACAAAAATATAATTTTTCTAGAGTTTTCATACATATCATGAAAAAATGTTGATGTTCAGTATAAATGTGTAAACTTTTTACCCTAAACAATTTTTTCTTTGATTTTAAACCAACAGTAATATATAAAATTCAATTGTTTTCAATAGATATATCTTGAAATCTAAAATTTGTTACAATTGAAAACCTATAAGAAATTCATCCTTAATAAACAAAAAAAAGGAAGAAAAAGCGTGAAATTGTATCTTTCTGAAACGGATGGATGAGTTAAAAGCCTCACAACAGAAAGACTAAGAGAGTGATACTCCTCACTAACGACTTCTGAAGCATATGCCTGAAACATTGAAAAACAGGAAACAAAGGTACCTTTAAGAATCTAATGCATCTAATCACTATATAAACTGAAAAGAGAAAAATCCACATTACCCTTATTACACCGAGAAGACAATTAAAGCAACCAAGAAGGAATCGAACGGAGATCGCGACCCAGAAACTTGTACTTAGACCAAAGAGAGTATTGAATATGATCCTGAAAAAGAGTTCTGAGGAATAAAAAAAATTCTGCAGACAAATATAAACTCCTGAGGAATAAAAGTGTAAAAAGCTAACACTGAGAAAGTTCCAATCATGATAATAGGTTTGCGACCATATCGATCAGCTAATTTCCCCCAGAGAATCGATGTCAGAGCTCTTCCGATCATGAACGAAGATGCTAAACATAAAAAAGAAAACATCGAAATAGCAGAATTCGAAATTAAAAAGCAAGAACCAAAAAAAAGTAACAAAGAGATTACCAACGAAACCAGCGTAGAAACCAATATCTTCTTCTTCTTTTGCGATGTTAAAGTCTCTGATCATGAAATAGAGATATGGAAACAGGGAAGAGATCGGGAGAGCTGAAATTGAAAATACAAAAATCAGAATAGCGTAATTTCGAGATTCAGTTGTGCGCGCGCCATATGCTTGCTGAAGATCCGAAGAGAGAAAATTGAAATAGTGCAGAGAGAGACGAGCCAGATGAAGGAGAGGTTGATGTAAGGTATGCCTCGCTGGTTTTCCTTAAGTCGATCGATGTTACAGCCGGAGCAGTTGTGGTGGTCATCGTCTTCTTTCTTCTTCTCCAGAAGGACGGTTCGTGCCTCATCGGCCATGATCGGAAGTCGGAACCACTGAATCGGAGAGATTTACTGATTGTTCTTTTGTTTCGAACTTTTTTTCATTTGGAATAAAAAGTAAAATAAAAGGAATCTGTTTCGAATTAAACTTCGGATAACTCACGCGATGATTTTTAAAAAAAGTCATATTCGAAAGGCGCCAAAAAGACCTAAGATGATTAGGAAGAAGAGAATCCAAATATCATCTCACGGGTGGGACTTAACAAATAAAAAACTTTTTTTATTTAAACAAAACATAGTTGTAACATAAACTCTAATCATCTATCATCATATCTATTACTAATAAAAGTTGATGCTAAATGCCTCTAAAGGTGTCCACATAGGATTTAAAGATTCAATTCTATTGGTACACATCATCATTACTTTTAGTTAATTATATAATGTATATTAAAACTAATTAATTCGTTTTAATTGTTATAAAGAAAATTTCTAAATTTTAATTAATTTTGTTTTTATTGTTATTAAGAAAGTTTCTAAATTTTAAGTTAGTTATTAATAAAAAATAATTTTAAAAATAGATCTTATATTTTTATTAACAATAAAAAGGTAAATTAACATATAAATATATTATCAAAAAGAAAATCATATATTTTGAACAAAAATATTAAAAACTATATTTAAAAACCATAATTAAATTATTTTAAAATTTTAATCACGACAAAAAATTAAAATCTGATTAGTCTTTTTAGGCCAATGAGAGAGTCTACATAGGACATATATACTCAATCTGATTAGTCTAGATCAGTGTTTTTCATCAAATATAACAAATAAATAATAATTTAATAAATTAAAACATACAAACATATAAAATTATCACAACAGAATGGAAAATTAAGATCATTTTTTTTAACTAAATAAAATAAATTTAAGTTAAAAGTCTAAATCTATTATGACAATAAAATAGAAACTCATTGTCACAAAAACTAAACTAACAAAAATAAATATGTAAATCAATAGCAAAAAATTTAAATTAAAACAATTAGCATATATATTTTAAATGAGTAATTTATTTAGAATAAATATTAAGATTAAATTTTCACATAAACTTATGAAATTATTATTTATAAATATCAATACTACCAAAAAATATTCATCTTAACTTATCAAAAAGAAGTCATTTAAAACTTCTAATTTTTCGAGAAATATTTAAAAAATTAGCACAAAAATCTTAAATAACCAAAAATGATACTTTATGCTAATTACTGAAGAAAGCAATATAAAAAATATTTACTAACAAAAACTAAAACATAAATTATTTTTTACAACATGTCAATACAATTAAAATGAAAGTCCATATCGAGAAAGTTAAATTAACAAAAAAAAGAGGATATTAACTCAATATCTATGTTATCTATTTAACAAAATCAATATAAACAGAATAAGTATGGGAATAAAAAAACTTAAATAATACTAAAAACTTAACTAACAAAAATAATATAAATATTTAAGCTAATTATTTAGGAAATCAATATTAAAAAATTAATTAACTAAAAACCTAAAACGAAAATTAAGTTTTACAAAATATTGTTTTCAAAAAAATAGTTAAAATATATTGACTTGATATTTGACTAACTACTTAAAAAATTTATATAAAAAAATTTAACTAACAAAATATCTATTTTCTTAAAATATCAAAAATTTTTAAAAACTGGTGTGTTAAAATAAAATAAAAATCAATATCAACAGAGGTAAATTATCAAAATAAAAATTCGTATAAAGTAAAATTAGCTTGATATTTAGGCTAACTACCAAACAAATATTAACTTAAAAAACAAATGGTGATATAAGCTTTAAGAGAAGTTCACTTAAAATTTAGAATAACCAGTTATAGCATGTCAAAATAACATTTTAATTAATTTTAAAAGTAAATTTAACAAAGAACAAGCATTTATGTAAAAGACATTAGATTAATATATATGCTACCTATTTGAAAAATCAGTAACAAAAAAGATTAATGAAAAATATATATGTTGTAAGTATATCAAACCTGCAGAAAATTAGATAATTAAAATAAAATATAAAATTACCATCAAAGATATTTAAAATAACAAAAAACAAGATCTAAGAAGCAAATTATTTTGAAAATATAGTTCCAAAAACATTCATGATTTCTAAAATATTGGTGTCGACTATGAATAACCATATAAAGTTTTAATAGGTAATACAAATTTTTAAATCAAACGTATTATTTAAATTTATAAAGATTAATACATTGGTTGCGTCTGGTTGAAAAATTAACAAAGTAAAATACTACACAAGTAACTTTACATTCAAAATATAATAAGTAATAAAGTCAGATTTGTATACATATTTACTTCTTATAACTTAGTCAACATGAACAACACATGAGCAAGATCCTCTAAAATTTAATTTAAATAATATATTATGACAAAGTTATAAATCAAATTCAAATATGAATATATGAAGATAAAATATTCAAATCAAAACATGAATAAACACACAAAAGATAAAAAAAAAAAAAAAAAAAACGGTGATAATGTGATGTCTCAACATCATCTTACATGTTTAAAAACAGATATTAGCAAATAATTAGGCTGCAAATAAAACAGATCTTAATTAACTGAATAGAGATATAACCTAAAATTCTTAGAAGATCTGGTGGAGAAGCAAAAATCAGTTTTACACGATTAGTATAGCTTACTAACAAAAGTAAATCTGAATCAACATATATCATAATATATATGTATATGTACATAACATTAGTGAGGCATTTAACTTAGTAAAAAAACTAAATATTTAAACATATAAACCTTTAAAAAAAAACCATAGAAATCCTAAGGATACAAAATAAAACACCAAAAATTTAGTAAGAAAATTATTTTCTAAATCAAACATATGCACATCGAAGTTGGATAATTTGTTAGGTGTCATTACTATGATTTTACTTAATAAGATTTATAATTTTATAAACAAAAATAGGAAATATTACATATTATATTTTAATTTTTTATATAAAAGAAAATTTCTATAAATATATTATACTTTTGATAATTTGAAAGATATTAGACAAAAAACTAAACCAAATTATTAATACAGACTTGCGCGTAGCGCGAGTTAAAAGCCTAGTATTACTAATAAAAATTGATGCTAAATGTCTCTAAGGGTATCCACATAGAATTTAAAGATTCAATTCTATTGGTACACATCATCATTATTTTTAGTTAATTATATATTGAATATTAAAATTAATTAATTCGTTTTAATTGTTATAACGAATTCGTTCTAAGGGTGTCCACATAGGATTTAAAGATTCAATTCTATCGATACACATCATCATTATTTTTAGTTAATTATATATTATATATTAAAATTAATTAATTCGGTTTAATTGTTATAAGGAAAATTTCTAAATTTTAATTAATTTGTTTTTGTTGTTATTAGGAAAGTTTCTAGATTTTAAGTTAGTTATTAATAAAAAAAAGTTTTGAAAATAGATTTTATTTTTCTATTAACAATAAAAAGTAAATTAACATATAAATAGATTATGAAAACAAAATCATATATATTGAATAAAATTATTAAAAATATATTTAAAACCATAATTAAAATATTTTAAAATTTTAATGACGACAAACAATTAGAATATATTAGTTGTGGTCTGTGTTGATGTCTTAGACCAATTAGAGCGTCCACATATGACATATATATTCAATCTGATTAGTCTATATCAGTATTTTTCATTAAACATAAAAAATAAATAAATATTAATAATAATTTAAATAAATTAAAACTTACAAAAATATAAAGTTATCACAATAAAATGGAAAATTAAGATAATTTTTTTAACTAAATAAAATAAATTTAAGTCTAAATCTATTGTGAAAATAAAATGAAAACTCATTGTCACAAAAACTAAACTAACAAAAGCAAATATGTAAATCAATAACAAAAAAGTTAAATTAAAAAAAACAATTAGCATATATATTTTAAATGAGTAATTTATTTAGAAAAAATATTAAGATTAAAATTTCATATAAACATATAAAATTTTTATTTAAAATATCAATACTACCAAAAGAACATTCATTTTAAATTATCAAAAAAGAAAGTCATCTAAAACTTATAATTTTGGGGGAAATATTTAAAACATTAACACAAAAATCTTAACAAACCAAAAATAATACTTTCTGCTAATTACTGAAGAAAGCAATATAAAAAATGTTTAACTAACAAAAACCAAAACATAAATTATTTCTTACCACATGTCAATACAATTAAAATGAAAGTCTATATCGAGAGAGTTAAATTAACAAAAAAAAAGAGGATACTAACTTAATATCTATGTTATTTATTTAACAAAATTAATATAAACAGAATAAGTAAGAGAATAAAAAAACTTAAATAATACTAAAAAATTTAACTAACAAAAATAATATAAATATTAAAGCTAATTATTTAAGAAATCAATATTAAGAAATTAATTAACTAAAAAAGTAAAACGAAAATTAAGTTTTACCAAATATTAGTTTTTTTAAAAAAACAATTAAAAATATATTGACTTGATATGTGACTAACTACTTAAAAAATTCATATAAAAATATTTAACTAACAAAAAATTTATGTCTTCAAAATATCAATATTTTAAAAACAATGGTGTGTTAAAATAAAATAAAAATCAATATCAAGAGAGGTAAATTATCAAAGAAAAAGTGGTATACAGTAATATTAGCTTGATATTTAGGCTAATTACCAAAGAAATATTAACTAAAAGAAGCAAATGATGGTATAAGCTTTTGAGAAAAGTTCACTTGCAGTTCTGAATAACGAGTTATAGCATGTCAAAATAGCACTTTAATTAAATTAACAAAGTAAAATACTACACAAGTAACTTTACATTCAAAATATAATAAATAATAAAGTCTGATTTGTATACATATTTACTGCTTATAACTTAGTCAACATGAACAACCTATGAGCAACATCTTCTAAAATTTTATTTAAATAATATAATATGACAAAGTTATGAATCAAAT